GGGAATGGGGGGGGCTCGGCAGGGGGGTGCTGGACTGCAGGGAATGGGGGGGGGCTCGGCAGGGGGTGCTGGGCTGCAGGGAGTGGGGGGGGCTCAGTAGGGGGCGCTGGGCTGCAGGGAGTGGGGGGGGCTCAGTAGGGGGTGCAGTACTGCAGGGAGTGGGGGGGACTCAGTAGAGGGCGCTGGGCTGCAGGGAGTGAGTTCAGCCCCCAGACACAGACAGAGAGACGCAGGGAGGTGGCACCCTGAGCCTTGTTGGTTTGGTCATTGCAGCAGGATGCGGCTTGTTTTATTAACCCAGCGACCCTGGCCATTGCGCCAGGCTCTCAGGCTGCTGAGGGGCCTGGTGCCAGGGCCGTGAGAGGGCACCGATGGGGGAGAGGCTGTGGGGTGAACCTGGGAGTGGGTCACTCCCAGCCAGCTCCTCCCAGCTCCAAGGGGCAGCAGGGCAGGTGCAGGATCTGCTCCTGGGGTGGCTGAGCAGTGTTCAGAGCCCAGCCCTGGGGCTGGAGGTCATGCCAGGAACACGCCTTGCTTGAGAGGTGAGCGAGGGGTCAGAGTGGCTTTCCTGGAGATACCAGCAGCACCAGACGCCTCCACCCAACTCCCCAGCCAGTGCCCTCTCTGCCCCCCAGCATCTGCCACTGCGCCCGTAAGTCCTGGTGCCTCTTGGGCGTCCTGGGGAGAGAAAATGGGAGCAAGCTCAGCCACACACACCGCAGCCCCCAGCCCTGCCACCCCCGATCTGGGGCACCCAACCCTGCCACCCCCGATCTGGGGCACCCAACCCTGCCACCCCCGATCTGGGGCACCCAGCACCCAGCCACCCCCGATCTGGGGCACCCAGCACCCAACCCTGCCACCCCCGATCTGGGGCACCCAGCCCTGCCACCCCCGATCTGGGGCACCCAGCACCCAACCCTGCCACCCCCGATCTGGGGCACCCAGCCCTGCCACCCCCGATCTGGGGCACCCAGCACCCAGCCCTGCCACCCCTGATCTGGGGCACCCGACCCTACCACCCCCGATCTGGGGCACCCAGCACCCAACCCTGCCACCCCCGATCTGGGGCACCCAGCACCCAGCCCTGCCACCCCCAATCCGGGGCACCCACCCCCCAGCCCTACTGCCCCCGATCCAGGGAACCCAGCACACAACCCTACCGCCCCCAATCTGGGACCCCAACCCTACCGCCCACAATCCATGGCCCCCAGTAC